CCTGGTTAATGAGCTGGTAAGGGCAACTGGCAGCAAGTGAGGCAGCAATAATACAACAGCAGCTCCATTGTCGCCTTCCTCGACTCACCACTTGATGACAAGTAGGCCTGCATCACAAGGAGTAATGGTCACCATGGGCAGGCTGTAATGTATCTCTGAGTAGGAGAGGGATCATTCATCCAACTCCAGAAGCAGCATAATTGTCCATGGTAATAAATAGATGACAAGGTAGAACATCATTAACGAAAATGACGCCAAGAAATAAAATGAACAAAATAAGGTTCCTCATTAAATTGTCAGTTTGTAATAATCCACAATACATCTTGTTTGTTCATTCAGAATTAATTTAGAAAACAATTAGAGGTATCTCCTTAACCCTGACAATGTTAACTGACATGTAAGGGTTCATCAAGCAGAAAAAAGAAATGAAATCTATGTTGTTGTCAGGTGTATGTACTTGGCATTCACATTCACAATTCTAGGACAAAAGTATCACTATGTTTTTCAACTGTTGTGATACTATTGCAGTAGTAAAAATGCATTCAGTTATCACCCCATCTCTGAGGCTAAATTATCTGTCATGAAACACTATAAAGGATTACAGTAAGTTGTTTCCTTCATACAAATACAATCAGTTTTGGTGCTCCACAGTGGTATATGTGATGCATACAAATACAATCAGTTACGGAGCTCCACAGTGGTATATGTGATGCATACAAATACAATCAGTTACGGAGCTCCTCAGTGGTATATGTGATGCATACAAATACAATCAGTTACGGAGCTCCTCTGTGGTATATGTGATGCATACAAATACAATCAGTTATGGAGCTCCGCAGTGGTATATGTGATGCATACAAATACAATAAATTATTGAGGTCAGTCAATATGAGATACTTACAAATAAGATCAGTTTTAGAGCCAATATTTCTTTGTTTTGGGTCAAAGTCCAACATGTCAATTTGACCCCACCTAGGACTACACAGCCCTTCACCTATACTAGATATGAAAATATTCTTCCTGTTGGGATCTCATGTTCTCCTGGAAATATATTTAGCTCATCTGACTCAAGTCAAGTGAGCTTATGTTGTTTGTCGTTAGTCCATCCGGTTGTCCATTGTCCATTTCACATATCCACATTTCCTTGAAACTTCAAGGCCTATGGTGCTGAAACTTGATATGAAATATCCCAGTTATGGTCTCAAATTGGCTCACAGAATTCCGATCTGATGTTTAACATCATCATCACTACCTCTTCATATTGCAGGTGAGCTTCAGGGCCAGTTTTTTTCTGAACATTCAGATCTAGTTAATCTTCAGACGGACAAAAAAACATCTATGCTGGAGCGTGTGTGCTGTTTGTGACTTGATGCTAGAGTGTGTGTGCTGTTTGTGACTTGATGCTGGAGTGTGTGTGCTGTTTGTGACTTGATGCTGGAGTGTGTGTACTGTTTGTGACTTGATGCTAGAGCGTGTGTGCTGTTTGTGACTTGATGCTAGAGCGTGTGTGCTGTTTGTGACTTGATGCTGGAGTGTGTGTGCTGTTTGTGACTTGATGCTGGAGTGTGTGTACTGTTTGTGACTTGATGCTGGAGTGTGTGTACTGTTTGTGACTTGATGCTAGAGCGTGTGTGCTGTTTGTGACTTGATGCTGGAGTGTGTGTGCTGTTTGTGACTTGATACTGGAGTGTGTGTACTGTTTGTGACTTGATGCTGGGGTGTGTGTACTGTTTGTGACTTGATGCTGGAGCATGTGTGCTGTTTGTGACTTGATGCTGGAGTGTGTGTACTGTTTGTGACTTGATGCTGGAGCGTGTGTACTGTTTGTGACTTGATGCTGGAGTGTGTGTACTGTTTGTGACTTGATGCTGGAGCGTGTGTACTGTTTGTGACTTGATGCTAGAGCGTGTGTGCTGTTTGTGACTTGATGCTGGAGCATGTGTGCTGTTTGTGACTTGATGCTGGAGCGTGTGTACTGTTTGTGACTTGATGCTGGAGCGTGTGTACTGTTTGTGACTTGATGCTGGAGTGTGTGTACTGTTTGTGACTTGATGCTGGAGTGTGTGTACTGTTTGTGACTTGATGCTGGAGTGTGTGTACTGTTTGTGACTTGATGCTGGAGTGTGTGTACTGTTTGTGACTTGATGCTGGAGATGTACGAGTGGTCATGTACAGCAGAGGCACAGGCCAAGTGACTATTGATTGTCTCCAGGCTCATTCTGTGACAGGGCAGATGAAATCTTCAGTTCATCTTTGCCTGAATTTCTGCTTGTATTAATCTGTCCTGAACCCTTGACTGACTTGGTGTCGCTCAGCGGGATTGTAATCAATCAGTTCATCAAGATCATTTCATGGCTATGAATCTGAAATGGATTAGGTGAACTTCCATGTGTAAAAGGTTATCCTGACAGGGGACAGGGAATTTATTTTGGAAATGGGGATGGATCTGGTGGTTGGGGGGGGGGGTGGAATCTGCTTGCTTAACATGGGATGGAGGGATGGTGGCAGTGATGGGACATGGGATAGAGGGATGGTTGCAGTGATGGGACATGGGATGGAGGGATGGTTGCAGTGATGGGACATGGGATGGAGGAATGGTGGCAGTGATGGGACATGGGATGGTGGCAGTGATGGGACATGGGATGAAGGGATGGTGTTAGTGATGGGATGAAGGGATGGTGGCAGTGACTGGACATGGGATGGAGGGATGGTGTTAGTGATGGGACATGGGATGGAGGGATGGTGGCAGTGATGGGACATTGGATGGTGGCAGTGATGGGACATGGGATGGAGGGATGGTGGCAGTGATGGGACATGGGATGGAGGGATGGTGTTAGTGATGGGACATGGGATGCAGGGATGGTGGCAGTGATGGGACATGGGATGAAGGGATGGTGGCAGTGATGGGACATGGGATGGAGGGATGGTGGCAGTGATGGGACATGGGATGGAGGGATGGTGGCAGTGATGGGACATGGGATGAAGGGATGGTGGCAGTGATAGGACATGGGATGAAGGGATGGTGGCAGTGATGGGACATGGGATGGAGGGATGGTGGCAGTGATGGGACATGGGATGAAAGGATGGTGGCAGTGATAGGACATGGGATGGAGGGATGGTGGCAGTGATGGGACATGGGATGGAGGGATGGTGGCAGTGATGGGACATGGGATGAAGGGATGGTGGCAGTGATTGGACATGGGATGGAGGGATGGTGTTAGTGATGGGACATGGGATGGAGGGATGGTGGTAGTGATGGGAGATGGGATGGAGGGATGGTGTTAGTGATGGGACATGGGATGAAGGGATGGTGGCAGTGATGGGACATGGGATGGTGGCAGTGATGGGACATGGGATGAAGGGATGGTGGCAGTGATGGGACATGGGATGGAGGGATGGTGGCAGTGATGGGACATGGGATGAAGGGATGGTGTTAGTGATGGGACATGGGATGGAGGGATGGTGGCAGTGATGGGACATGGGATGGAGGGATGGTGGCAGTGATGAGACATGGGATGGAGGGATGGTGGCAGTGATGGGACATGGGATGGAGGGATGGTGGCAGTGATGGGACATGGGATGGAGGGATGGTTGCAGTGATGGGACATGGGATGAAGGGATGGTGGCAGTGATGGGACATGGGATGGAGGGATGGTGGCAGTGATGAGACATGGGATGGAGGGATGGTGTTAGTGATGGGACATGGGATGGAGGGATGGTGGCAGTGATGAGACATGGGATGGAGGGATGGTGGCAGTGATGGGACATGGGATGGAGGGATGGTGGCAGTGATGGGACATGGGATGGAGGGATGGTGGCAGTGATGGGACATGGGATAGAGGGATGGTTGCAGTGATGGGACATGGGATGGAGGGATGGTTGCAGTGATGGGACATGGGATGAAAGGATGGTGGCAGTGATGGGACATGGGATGGAGATGGGGTGGCAGTGATGGGACATGGGATGAAGGGATGGTGGCAGTGATGGGACATGGGATGAAGGGATGGTGGCAGTGATGGGACATGGGATGGTGGCAGTGATGAGACATGGGATGGAGGGATGGTGGCAGTGATGGGACATGGGATGGTGGCAGTGATGGGACATGGGATGGAGGGATGGTGGCAGTGATGGGACATGGGATGGAGGGATGGTGGCAGTGATGGGACATGGGATGGGACATGGGATGGTGGCAGTGATGAGACATGGGATGGAGGGATGGTGGCAGTGATGGGACATGGGATGAAGGGATGGTGGCAGTGATGGGACATGGGATGGAGGGATGGTTGCAGTGATGGGACATGGGATGAAGGGATGGTGGCAGTGATGAGACATGGGATGAAGGGATGGTGGTTGTGATGGGACATGGGATGGAGGGATGGTTGCAGTGATGGGACATGGGATGAAGGGATGGTGGCAGTGATGAGACATGGGATGAAGGGATGGTGGCAGTGATGGGACATGGGATGGAGGGATGGTTGCAGTGATGAGACATGGGATGGAGGGATGGTGGCAGTGATGGGACATGGGATGAAGGGATGGTGGTTGTGATGGGACATGGGATGAAGGGATGGTGGTTGTGATTAGACATGGGATGGAGGGATGGTGGCAGTGATGGGACATGGGATAAAGGGATGGTGGTAGTGATGGGACATGGGATGGAGGGATGGTGGCAGTGATGGGACATTGGATGGTGGCAGTGATGGGACATTGGATGGAGGGATGGTGGCAGTGATGGGACATGGGATGGAAGGATGGTGTTAGTGATGGGACATTGGATGGAGGGATGGTGGCAGTGATGGGACATGGGATGGAGGGATGGTGGCAGTGAAAGACACCTGACACCGCAAGTTAACATAATATCATTCAAACAAATGTTTTCTATCAATTTTCAATTTGTTTTAGTTGTTTAACAATGTCAGATTGAAACATAAATTCATTGTGGTAGTATCACTTAGGCTATATGTGGTTCCATGTGTCCTTCAGTTTTATACCATCCACAGCCAGAAGCCAGTCTACATGACACTGTGACGGCCGGAAGCCAGCCTACATGACACTGTTACGGCTAGAAGCCAGTCTATATGACACTGTGACGGCCGGAAGCCAGTCTATATGACACTGTGACGGCCGGAAGCCAGCCTACATGACACTGTGACGGCCGGAAGCCAGCCTACAAGACACTGTGACGGCCGGAAGCCAGTCTACATGACACTGTGACGGCCGGAAGCCAGTCTACATGACACTGTGACGGCCGGAAGCCAGTCTACATGACACTGTGACGGCCGGAAGCCAGCCTATACCATACCAAACAATGAACAAATCTTAACACGAATGCATGTGTTAGCTTAAATTTTTATTAAAAATTATTAAAATTGAACTTAATAAAGTTTTAAAGTTATTATTTAAATCATGTGATAAACATTACTGTCATACACATTTATAAACAGTAGGATTTGACCTTGCACATGGTGTATGACATGAAGTAGCAAAGATGTTTTACAGGCTTGTGATTTCCTGTATGAATGTAGGCTTCATCTCTCACCAGTCACGGGGAACTCGGTGTCATAGCACTGAAGCTTCTGGCTGACTGGTTTGGTTTTGTAATTTCATTTGCAAGAGTATGTCTGTGGGTAGCCCTTCAGTCAAAAAATACAAAGTTGAAAAAAAGGACAAAAGTATGCAATATTAACAGTCAAATGTTAGGAAAAGACGTCATGAGAAAAGAAAGAACAATGTGTATGAAAGAACGTCAGTGAGCACAAAAGGACATTTACAATAAAGAACGTCAGTGAGCACCAAAGGACGTTTACAATAAAGAACGCCAGATGGCGCTGCAATTTGTAAAACATTCTGAGTATAATCGGCTAGTTCTGCCGTGTATATGACAACTGCATGACGAGGTTGAAAATGTATTACTTCATTCCTTATGCACTCACTGTCTGTATGTATAATGTATACATTGTGTGTATATACATATTGCATTTAAGCATCTTCACCGGTCAAGGGCCGTTTCATAAATATAGTATACTGTGTAATCTGACATCTACCTCTTTGTACATGTATTTTGTAAACAACCTTCAATAAACACTCATTGAATGTAACCTTTTCTAAATACTGGCATTCCAACAGTCACATATGTGTTGAACATGCTACTTCAAGCTTAAATATTCAAACTATCTCAAACAATTTTATGTTAAAGGGGCACTGATCTAAAGCAATTCCCCGGGACTGGTTGTTGCCTTTGTTTTTGTTTTTTCCTGTGAGTACCCTGTGACGAAGTTTTGATAAGTCACTTGCTGGGTAATTGTGCGATTTTCATTTACACTATTTTGACTTGCAACAAAAAGTAAATATTTCTCCTGAGGATTGCTTATTTTATCATGTTTATATTTTTACAGTGAAAAATTGCAAAATTTTCTAAGTAAAACGCCTGAATATTCAGTTATTTTACAAATTGACTGAAAAATATGCCCATCTGTATTATTATTCCAAACATTTTTATGTTTAATATCATCACCAAGAGACTGAAAATGTTACGATGAAAAGTACATTTCTTTATTATTTGGCTTCTACTCCTCCATAATAATCTATTGTGATGTTTTTAGGCCCTTTTGATCGTCTTAATCAATTTTAGTCAATCTGTTAAAGAAATGGACAGATTTTTCAGTCTAAATGACTGAAATATTTACACATTTTATAAATTGCATGAGAGAATCACATTTTACAAATTGACTGTAATATATACACGCTTACAAAGGAAAAGACTTGTGAAAACAACGTTTATTGCGCATCGAAAAATTTCCCAACCAAGACATAGAGGAACAAGAATGAACCTGTCCAATGCTACAGCAAATGAAGGAAAACAAAATGCAAATATCATAATTACAACCTACCAAATTTATGTGTATAATTTCAGGCAGTTTCCTTGTCCGAGGAATGTATCCATGAATATCCACACAAAGGAATAATATCCCACACATCTGCAGCTGTACAAAGAAACTTATTCGATGTCACATGTCTCTGTAACAATCAAATATTTTAAAAAATATATATATCGTTTAGGGATATTATAACCCATGTTCGTTTCTCAACTGATCACTTAGTTTGTTTCAGGTGTTTCACCTAGGTGTCAAGTCTCAAAGGTCGGCTGAGAAAGCCCACGTGACAACTATTTTCATAACTTCCTCGGTTCCTAAAAAAAACCCCACTGAGTTAGATAACAATGAACAATCAATTAACGTACAATCGGCTAACCCTTTGAACAAAGTATGTTGTTTTTACATGGGCACTATATGCCATGATATGAGTGTATTCCCTTTGTTTTAGTAAACCTAGACATGAAAACACTTAATTTTGACATATCCACTGTGCAAGATAACAGTGATTAATCAATCAATGTATTTTCTGTTAATCCTTTGACTAGGAACGATCCGTTGATTTACCAAAAAGTAAATCAACTGATCATTCATCTCTTGCTTGGCTGCCAAGTGCATATAATGTAACACACATTTCACCTCACTTCAAACCTGGATTTAGATTGAATAATTACCCCAGACACAATAAATGCCAAATGGGAACCTTTGTCAGATATTCTGAGTGGTGCTACCACTAATTGTACCTGTAATAAATTCATTAACTGAGCATCAAGTGAATGACGACAAATACACAAGTGTAGGGTTATACCAGAAAACATGGATGACAACAAGGGAGTAGTAATCGTAATATCGACGCAATCCGAAATCCGAAAATGCTTTCAGTGCATGGATACTTTTTTTTATTATTAAACTATAACAATCGGGTATTTCCAAATGACCACATCCGATGATGTCACGCTCAGTTGCGTTGCGTATCATCCGGGTACTCACGGGGAAAAAACAATAACAAAGGCAACAACACCATCCTTGTACATTTGGTAAGAAATAAATTGTGATAACATATATTTATTCACCACTGCCAGAAGAAAATGTTTGTGTGACAGAGGTGCACTCCGCATGCTGTCTACAATTGTCTGGCAGTAAACAGATGTTATTGATATGTTGTCACTGCAGCAGATCAACTTCAGTTATTGAGTTTGGCCCTGACACTGACTCTGTGGGCGGTCTGGATGGATATCAGGATTAATGAGTCCCATTACTCTGTGGAGCTGACTAAATACTATCACCTGAAACGATTACACTAAATCCACAGCAGTAACCACAGATGACTTTACATGACTTGCTTCTGATAGTCCTGCATTGATGAGTGACCACAGATCCTCCCTGTGCCCAGCAGCTGGAGGCAGGGTAATTCAGTTGGAATGTTCCCCCTTTTTCACTGTCACCGTTACAAGGGAAATTAGTTTTGGTCACTGTAAGTCATTGATTAATAACAAATTATTAGTAAACCATATATTATTTTGCCTGGTAAATTAACCCAGTTATATGACAAAGATAATTTAGAAAATTGTTGTCAGTTAATGTAAACTGTCAGTTACCATCACACCTCTCCTCTTTGCAAGTTTCATCAATCCTATCAATCAGTTTTAGCTCACCTGACTGAAAGTTTGACTTTCAACACATACAATCCTAAGAAACGCCATGAGGCACTACTTCCATACAGTGCAAGAATTTCTTGTTCAGTTATAGCTTTGTGATTTTCTCCATTATGGACTACACATTCGTGAAAAACATTGGATTGAAAGTTTCTCTTTTGCAAACCAAGGTGAATAGATGTATACCAGTAGCCAACTGGGAAAATTAACCATACTTCTTTTTGTTGCTTTAGTAGTATAGGTAATGGGGGTTCTGGCTCACTTCAACTGGAGCCAGATTTATATACCTATACTGCTACTACAGGGGGAATTTTCTTATGTGTAAATGATGATGCACACAAATAATCGTCATGAGACTAAGCTAAATTGTAATGAACAAGGCTCTAACTCACCACTACCTGAACCATTTTAGAACCATATCCATGCTTCTATGATATAATTTTTATAGGTAATGGGGGTTCTGGCTCACTTCAACTGGAGTCAGATTTATATACCTATACTGCTACTACAGATGGAATTTTTTATGTGTAAATGACGATGCGATTTTACTAGGAGACCAGACTATATACTCTTCTTGATAATTGGAAAGAAACAATTGATGACCGTATTTGGTTGGTTTGACATCACTGATATAATATATACCTTGTGGTAATTCTCTCCATTTGATAATTTTGTCCCTGAGCATAAATGTTTCGATAGCTTTTTCGAGTTCTTCCTTTGTTGGTTTGTAATTCTCCATTATTATATATTTATGTAAACGTTCTTCTAAATGTGATCTAATGATAGTAAGCAATCTATTTTTAATCTCCAACCAGTTCTTTGGTTTTGGCACGGAATAATTGACGCGCTTGTTGTCTCCCCTGTTCTATGAACTTTTTTTTCTCGTCTTCGATATTACCACTGGTCTTAAGAGAATTGGATCGAATCTCCTGTTTCATTACGTTGTATTTGGTGAGTTCTGACAACACTAAACGAAACTCCTCCTCAGATATCTTGCAATCAGCCATTGCTGTCGAAATATGATCCTCAATGCTGTTCAACTTTGCTTCGGCGAGTATCCGAATATTATCATGTTTTAATGCTTTCTTTTGCAACCTACGAGAAATGAATTTTATCGCTATTCCTGCCAGTCCTGAGACTCTGGCCGCTATTTCCATGCCAAGTACGATAGGCGCGGCGATTATAGTTGATAATAAACCAACACCGGCTACACCAAGTCCCATGCTAGCCGTTACAAGTGCGGTGTCAACTCTGCCGAGAGTATTCACGGCTCTGCGATACTTTTTATACAATCTAACTCCCTTTCCTTATCTATTCGATGTTTTATGTCGCTTATTTGATGTAATCGAAATCCATCAACAGTATCCATCTCTTCAGATGCCTCATTGAGCACTGGATATAAACTCATAGTGTATATTACGATCATATAATAGTCTTTAATTGGTCTTGCTTAAATGTTTTGAGAGTATACATCAACCTTATCAAATGTATATTATACAGCATGAATATCTTAGTAAGAGAAATGCTGTCACTTTCAATAATTTGGACCCCCTCAAGGGTTTTTTAACGGGTGATGCTCCAATATGAATAATACTGCAACGTTGACATTGGTGTTTCTTTAGCCATTTAATCGATAGACTTGGTAATATTTCAAAGGCATCTTCCGGTGCATCTCCGAACAAGACTTCAATAATAAGCGTAGAAAGATTAGATATTGCACTCAAGTTCTGTTTAATATCATTGAATTCAGTAACCAAATTTAAACTAACATTTTTTACTGCTGGACGACTATATAACATATGACCTGGGGTTTCTGGCAGGGGGGTGACTAACACACTTTTTCGTTTTGACGGGATATAAGCCCCGAGTTTGACCCCACTATTTATGATCTTAGTTAAATTATGTGCCTTACCCATCATCACATAAAGTGGGGTAATGACGATATTCAGTAGCCACTTGATGTTTGCTTCGACCATAGTCCATTTATTATCATCTTTGCGAGTAAGATTATACTAAGTGTTTTTATGGAGTCTACTAACGTCGACATCGGTTAAATCTCCTAGATTACCTGTGAATGTAACTTCTTTCGGCTTGTATACATTATCGTGTAAGTGTAAAGCGTATAACTTACCATTGGTACCGGGTTTACCGAATCCTTCTGTGTCTCCTAGATCGGAAAGCGCAATTGTATTACATTGTCTAAGGTTATGCGTTCCAGGGCCTGATGAATCAACCATTATTTATAATATGGAGTGTTACACTCAAGTATCCTATATGTACAGGTTGATGTTTTACATCTAATACAGAAATTTTGAGATCTGAAATAATACCACGCTTTAATTTTTTATATTGTAATGATGAGAAAGATTCCGTTCTACCGCTATTGTATTTTTCATCTTTGACTGGAATAGATCTGAGTAGAGTTGAAGGACTTTCGAGTTGAATATTAACCGTTGTACTGATCTGATCAAGATGGATGCACAACTCTTTATAGGGAACTAAATCGGGTAATTTAACTCCATGCACTATATCGTTAGGTGGTATTGTCAACGTTGATAATCCAAGTGTATCTGCTAAGCTTGTACATAGAATTACAAGCTTTTCTCCAACGCTTAATTTCAGCATCCCATTCGACTCAT